TTTTTTCCAATAGCACTGTTTAGCACCTGTCTCTTATACACATGGAATCACGGCTGGCAAATCCATAAAACCACGGCTCGAAAAATTCAGTCGCGGCTCGCCAAGTAGATATATTCCATACTAGCCTACAGCTACTAGTAAGTATGACGTAGGTATTTAGGCTATTACCTACCAAATACTCAAAATACTGCTAGTGATAGCTGCTGCTTCAATTAATTTATCAATGTTAATTTTATGATGTCACTGCCACTCACAGTCACTGGTTACTGATCATCATTCATCAGCTAATGATCTTAATTTTATGTAGCCTAATATGTAATACCTTTTAGGCTTTTAATTCTTTCATAAGAATGTTAAGTATAAAATCATTGGTTTGATCTGCTGGAATCTCTGGACTGGATGAATCCAGAATCATGAATGGTCGTCAATGGACATTGGACAATGGACAATACCTATGGACATGGTGCCAATCCATAGGTTATTCAAAAGAACCTGTTCTTATGTCATTTTGAACCGATCAACACTTCTTTATGGACCGATCGTATAACACACCTTCACCGGCAAAAGCTTTCACACTTCTGAGCGAGCTGACAGCTACAGCTACACTGGCCGTGGGGTGTGGGTGCCACTGTGGACAAAGTGTCAGAATATTCAAATATCTTTGGTGACTAATTATCAGCTAATTATGTGCCTTCAGAAGATATTGGCGACAAATTTACCTTAAAATGATTAGTAACAAATTTATAAATTCACTTTTGGCGACTCTGCTTCCAGAGACTCCTCTCAGCTGACCAGCACTCACCAGCTCCAGCTAAGTATATATGTATTCTTCTATATTGAATGAAAAGGTTTTGTTTAACAATATGAATTTAGTCAGTTGGATGAATGAACGGAATCAAGCAGTATTCAAATGTGGATGAATCAACTTGAACAGTGGCGCTTATACCTAGCATCAGTGTGTAAATTTCACTGCTCATATTAATAGTTTTATTTGCATCATCGCATGTACCTTCCATTGTACCTACCGACCCATAAATCTTTGTCGTGTCTGAATTTCTTTGTTATAAAATAGAATTGGCCTAATTCTATTTTGAATTTCTATTTTTTAAAATGTAATTCCCAATTAAATTGGGTAGAAATATCTTACTGAGCAGTCTGAGCTCATTTATCATGGCAGTTTTCCCAGCGCACCGTAACCCATGCATCATATCAATCCCGATCATAGTAGACTGTTGTTTCACTAGTTACTGGGTCATGTTGACAAAAAAGACCTAATTATGGCATATTATTATTTTTTTTTGGCCACAAACTTTAGTGGCTAATCATGCTCTGGCGACAGATCTCCAATGACAATGGCGACATTTTGAGCTTGAAAGGGCGATTTTGGCGACACAAATGACACCTTGTCCACAGTGGTGTGGGTGGACCTAATTTGAATTTGAATGCATGCAGCGATTCAAAATCCTATAGACTGTGATAGACATAGTATACAAGTCATAGAGCCTAAATTTTTAATATCTATAAAAAAATGTACGTTTCTGCATGTATTATAATGCTGTTAACATTAGCAAACTTTTAATTATCTCTGATGCAAGAAATA